ACACACACACACTAGTGCTGGCTGAATGCTGATATTATAAGCCTTCACCCCCCTAACACAGCTTTAATTAACGAAATAAACTCTCAAAATGACAAGAAAGTAAAAATAAAATGGATAAAAACTCTCTCCAGATACGATTCCAAAATAAAAGATGTTTCTTTATTCACTCCTTCACAAATTATTGTCAAACAAAAGCAAAATAAGCCAGTTTACAGGGTTTCCACTTGTTATTAATAAACACACACACACAATACACTCACCTTAAACCACACTTCATTCAAACTCTACAAAATAAAACTCCGTCCGTTGGTACGTTTAGGGACCATCAGCTCACTCTCTCCTCTTCCCGTTCTCCAGGTAACGTGGTTCCGCCGGAGAAGGTGCACGAGAAGCTGTTCGTCGGCTCCCAGAGGGAATTTAAGAAGCCGTCTCAGCCCGCCGTGGCGCGCTACAACAAGCAGCACACGGAGGAGCAGATCATCAAGCTTCAAGACAAACTCCTGCGGAAAGAATCGAAGCTCCGCAAGAGACTGGCAGCGCACGGCATCGACTACGACTTCCCCGGATTTGTAAGTTTTATGAACTGATATCACAAATCTGTTCAACAGCCTCTGAACCTCGATCTGTATGATTGGAATATCTTTAATAACTTTAAACGTGCAGGACTTCAACCCCGAACAGTCTTCAGGAACGGGGAACAAAAGGCTGTAAACATGTTTATTTCTTGCATGTGAAGTCGGAACTTCTTTTAATACGAAGTTCCTTTATGGAGACTGAGTCATGCTGGAGCCAACCTCTAGTTGGTCCGCTTAGAGGAACTGCAGGTTCTGTTACTCTTGGGTTAGATATTCTATAGACAAAAAGAGGTGCAGAAGTCCAGTTTTCTCTCAGATCACTTCAGTTATAATCTGCTGGAAGGTTATTATGAACTATGAACTGCCTATCGACGCTTTAAATACATGCTTTCTTTAAAACAGTCTCCCTTAAAGTTTGCCATGTGTACAAATAGTCACAAATGTGTCTGATATGTTTGTTTTCTGCAGGAAGAGGCTTGCAGAGGTTGAGAGGTGGGTCTGCAGTAAAGCAATTTAAAGCTGCTCTTATATCCTGTGTGCTCGTGTGTGTTGCATTTTAAAGCTGCACGGGTGGATATTTTTTGTCCTATTTGCTGAGCTTTCGTTATATTCGGATATAGCATGCGAGACGGATAATGTGTGAAAAAATGAGCTGCCTCTGAGTCGTTTTGGCTCCTAACGGTTTACAGAATCCACGGGCCGCGAATAGAAACAACCAATCAGAGCCGAGACAGGAGTCGGTTGGTGAGTGTCATTCCGAGGTCGTCAAATACAGACAACAATCTTCAATCTTCAATCTTCAAGCATCCAATCCAAAGTGTCTTTATATCTTCTGCTCTCGATTGGTTGTTTTCATTCGGGCCCGCGTGGATCTTGTAACGCGTTAGAGGCCACTAGAACGAGCCAGAGGGGACCGATTTATCTGTCTATGTGTCTTATTTTATTTATTTTATTTTATTTTATTGCTTTATCTTTACTGTGCCTACCTCATCTTTTTTTGCTGTGCTTCTATTTGTTATCCTATTATTCGTATATCTTTTTGTGCGCAGCACTTTGGAAACCTTGTGTTTGTTGAAATCGGTGCCT